GGCAAACACTACAAAACAATTCCAATCCTTTGATTCCGTAATGTTTATTTTAAGAAAATGTCTAAAGAAAATAAGGTAAAAGAAAAAAAAATCATCTCTACAACGTCTTCATGGCAGTATTATTTAAATAGAAAAAAATTGGAAAGCAATCAATTGCACAGTGATTTCTTAGTACTTCTCAAAGTGGGGTCTTAGGATCCCCTACATCAGAATCACCTAGGATGCTTGTAGAAATGCAGATTCTGGGGCCACACTTCTGACATAGTCAATGAGAATCTCTGAAGGGTGCCTGGGAATATTCATTTTATCAAGCAGGTCAGCTGACCCATAACAACACTGAAGTTTAAGAACCACTAACCTCTAAGCAAACCGCAGACCATGGGAACATTTAGAGGACTAGACGGCGTTTCAGGTGACAGACCCTGTGCCTGCACAGAATTGGATAGAAGGAATAGTGATGACTGCAGAAAACACCAAAGCCCATGGGCAGCCAATGCCCCATGTGAGATGCCCACAGAGCAGTGGCCACAACAGGGTAGAATCACTTAAGTCCTTGGTGCTTGTTATGTTGTATTTTGCTCTAGAGACTGTTTAAAAAATTCCTCACGGTCATACAAGTTTTCACTGATTTGTCAAAATCCCAGGAAGGGCACTTGAAAAGTTAACAGAACACTTACAAATAATCTCCAGGATCCCTGCCTCGAGCCAAACCTGCCTGGATGTCACCCCCTCTCCTTTCCCTCCATTGGACCCCCAGTCTCTAGGCGGTAACAGGCCCTTTCTGCCTTGGATTCGATCCAAGCCCTCGCATCCCTTTACGTGTCACCCCACCGCGTCCTTGGCCGTGTCTGGCGTTGGCGCCACTGTGTGGGATGTAGTCCTCTCATTAGGAGAGTTTACTGCCCACACATTTTTGCAATAAACTGGGGAGCAGGGAGAGCTTAGCAGGCAGCTTTCTGGAGACTGCTGAATATTTCCTTTTCAGGATGAGAAGGGGAGACAGTTCTGATAGGGTGTGTTGCTAACGCAGTTCTGAGCTTCTGTGGCTCGCAGAGGGCTTACTTCCTTGCGAGCCGATCCCTGAGGTACAGAAATGTCACCATAGCTCTGCTTCCCACAGAAGCCTCTTTCCTGGAACCTACAGATCCATTCTTGCCCAGAGCCTTGGGGCTTCTTGCCAGGATCTAGGGATGTCACAAGAAACTACTGTCCTGTCAAGGTTGGCCAACCTCCCCTAAGAAGGTTGGGCAAATGCCCAGGACTCCAGGTGCCTGTGTGGGATGGGAGAGCCCACCCGCTCTCTACATGGAGCAGCGGGGGATTAGTGGGGGACCCAGACCTTGCCCAGCGACATACCCAAGGTTTGAGTCTTGATGTTCTGCAGCCCTGAGGGAGAGTACAAATGCTTTCTTTCAAACTACCACATCTGTTTCCTGGCCCTGAAATACCAGATCTCACCCACTCCTGGCTATTTCACAGCTGCTCCCTCTAGGTGGTACCCAGTCTTCGGCATCCTTGTGTGGTCCAGCAGAGGGGGCTTCTTTTCCACGAGGGAGACCAGGCTGGGGAAAGAATCTCCTCAGGACACCAGAGTGGGCGATTGGGAGTTATCACTCTGCTTCCAGCCCCCATCAACACCCTATAACCTCACTGCTGCTTTCAGCCCTTTTGCAGGTTTTTCCCACGGGGTCAGAACCCAGCCCAGAGAGCAGATTCCTCACTTTCCCAGCCTCCTGTGCAGCGGGCCACCCCGTTGAGGAAGAGAGCAGAGGAGTAGAAGCAGGAGGGGCAGGAGAGGCACTGGGCTGAGATCCTATTGTGACTTTTGGAATGGACTTTTAATCTTTCATCCAAAATATGTGAGTGCCAGTGCTGTGCTAGGGAGCTACGACTGTAAACAGACAGGCCCCTGCCTTCAGGGAATTACAGTCTGATGGAGGAGGCCAAAAATAAACAAGTAAGCAAAGCCATGAAATGACATGTTTATATTGTAGTGAGTGCTCAGAAGGAAATAAACAGGTACTGTGCTAGAATATAAAGTAGAATTCTGCTTCAGAAAAGATGGTCAGGGATGACCTCTCTGAGCTGAGCCTGGGTGATAGGAAGCTGTTGACCGGGAACAGCATTCAGCTGAGGGACCAGAAGGTGCCAAAGCCCTTTGGAGGAAGATGGATTCTAGGAACTGCAGGTTCATCGGGGTTGGGGTTCACTGAATGAGGGTGAGACCTGTGGCCTAAAACGGTTGGATGGGCGGGGGCCAGACCAGTCAGACCAATTCTAGGGATTTTGATTTGTGTCTATGTAGAATGGGAGATCATTGAAGGCTTTTAAGCAAGTGACAGGATCTGGTTTAAATTTTCATGCATCACTGTGGCTGTAGGTCTGGGAATAGGCTTTAGGGGAGGAGTGGGGGAAAGGAGAGCATTCAGGAACCCCTGCAGTGTCCAGGTGAGAGAGGACGCTGCTTGGACTCGGTGGTGGAGTGGAGGGGAAGGGGTGGAGCTTGAGGCATATTTGGGAGGTTGGACCTGGAGGTTTGCTGATGGGCTAGAGCGAGAGACAGGGAGGAAGCGAGGCTGAATCTCAGACTTGCAGCTTGAGAAGCCTGATGATGGATGGTGCCAGTTACCAAGGTGGGGAGGACTGGTGAGACAGAGGGGGACAGGGAGTGGGGGATGGGAGCGGAACAAGGTCTTCAGGCTTGTCCTCACTCCAAAATCAAGGAAGTCGTTATCTCATGTTCCTGCCCAGCCTCTTGAGTAAGCCCTGTGAACCCCATTTTCCAGGCTGAGAAAACTAGGTTGAGCCCAGCAGGTCAAGAGCCGGGGCCGAGAGATGACACCAAGGAACCAGTTTGCCATCTGGGAACTTTTGCGCCCAGCCTGGTGCCCTCTTTCCCAGCCCAGCTATGAAACCCCCTCCCAAATACCTCGCCAAGGCCACTTTGAGCCACGTTGGCAAGAGTTCCAAGGACAGCATGCTCTGGCCCCAAGATATTTTGTCCTGTCCCCAATCTCCCCTTGAGTCTCCTTCCTTTTCTAAAAATGCCTGTCCAGTGCCCTCTCCTGGTCAGCGTCTAGAAGGTGGGGTGCTCGTGGGCTTGGACAGGAACCTAGGAAGCATGGAGATTTGGGCCTGATGCTGGTTTCAGCTCCAACCTGGTCTGGGACCATTACTTCCCTTCTCTGAGCAGTTTATATTTCTGACTGCAAAATGGGACATAGTCTCCCCCTTTCTTTACAGGGTTAGGAATAGGGGCTTTAGAGTCAGGAAGACCTCAGTTCGAATCCCAGCCAGCTGTGTGACCTTGGCAGGTCGCCTCTGTAAGCTGCAGTTATGTCACCTTCAAAAGAGAAACAATAAACCCCTTTCCTATGGGAGTCTTGTGAGGATAAAGCGAGACTGTGGAGCCCAAGGGCCTCATCCAGAGCATCAAGGTAAATGGTAGCTGCAGTGATTGTGTTGTTGTTGGACCCTGACTGAAGGAGACCATCCATACAGGGACAGGGACAGGTACCAGTTTCGCTCTGGCAGGTGGGAAATTATAGGATCCGGGACAATGAGCTTTGGTCTACATGTCCCAAGGCTTAGACACACACATACATTTAATCTGACCTCTGCAGAGTCAGGAGAGTCCAAGGTCAACTGAATATTATTTTGTGACTTCATTATTTTGTCTGTGCCTTAATGTCCTTATCTGCAAAATGCAAATAATAATCATTTCTACCTCATGGGGTTGTTGTGAAACTTGAGTTAGCTTTTTAAACTCTAAATATGTACAGTGCTTCTAACAGTGTCAGGAACAGGCTGTTGTTCGTATTTTAGTAGCTGTAGTAGCAGTAATGGCATTCGTAGCAGTAATGGTAGTAGCAGTAACAGTAGTAACAGCAGTAGCAATAGCAGTAGCAGGGGCAGTAGCAGTAGTAATAGTAGGAGCAGTAGTGGCAGTAGGTTTTCATCAGCATGGTTTGGGGGAAATGTCTCTTTACCGTCGTAGATGTTTCCATTCTCTCATCTGCAGAAGGAGGAAAGGGCAGCTAAGGGCTGGGCTACTGACCGTTCACAGACTGATAATTTTGGACAAAGGTGCAGAACTGAAAGATTCATCCTACCACATTAGAGCTTGAAGATGGACCTGGGAGTATGTGAAGTTTAATAGTCACCAAGCTCCAGGCACCAGAGCAGTACATCTACGGTGCTCTTTTCTCCTGTCTAGGGCAATATTGGGAAAAAATACGAACTAGTGGATTTTTCTTAAATCTAGATTTACCCCATTTTTCAACTTTGAGAGTTTGTCCTTTGTACCTTGGGGGTTAAAATAGTCTTTCTTCCATAAAATGTTGGTGATCGTTGCTGGTGATGTGGTTATTTATGATGATTTAAACTGGTCCATGAAACCCCAAATCTGAAAACCACTGGTCTTTCGACAAATGGGGAAACTGAGAGCAGGGGAAGGAGTGACTTACCCAAGGTCACAGCCTGGTTTGTGACAGAGCCAGTGCTGGAACCTGGGTCTCCTGACTTTCAGTCCAGTGCTCTTTTTACTGGACTCTTCCATTGTTCACTTAGGGATCTTTCACTTGCCAGTGAGTAAAACCCACTGGCTTAAGCAAAAGGGAAATTCAAGAAGAATTTCAACTAGAAAAAAGGAGAAATAGATTCTTGGCAGGAAAAAAACTTCGAGTGCCCATGAAAACCCTGGAAATAGACCCCCATCTCTGGTTCAAAACCCATGACTAGACTTCCCCAGTCTCTCCCTCAGCCTCCACCAGACCCTTTCCAACACACACACAGACACCCCATACACAAACACACACGCAACACATTCATTTCCCCCCGACACACACACACACACTATACATACACACACATTCTCATTCTGAGCAGCCTCTGAGGACCCATCTTTGACTCACTCACCCTGACTCAAGCCTTCTCTCAGGATGCACCAGCCAGGAGTGTCTAATCCACCCCACATCCAACACATCTTATTTCTTCTTCAGGGACAGAGCTACCTCCCCAGCAAAGGTCATCAGAACACACTGTCCCCAGGAGCCTTTCATCCAGGATTTATTAGCTGGGTAATTATGGGAAGCATTTTTCTTTTCTGCATTTTCTTTACTGCGTTGGTGATGATCTGTACACATCCAGAGAACTAAAAATAAATAGCAGGAGGTCTGACTTGTTTGAAGCTGGGTCAGTGTTTATTTTCTCAAAGATCAAACCTCCTTGATATGGATGTAAAGCAACATGAAATGGGCCTTAGGTGCATGGACTGCGGTCTGTGATTTGAATATGCAGTCGGGGAGGATTTGTCCTGAAAATCTTAGCTGTGAACTCTGTGTCTCTCTCGCCTTGTCCCCGCTCCTTGGTCAGGCCTGGGGCATGGGAGACACGCTCCATGGATCTCCCAGTTTGCCCTGGTGTTGCCATGATTCTATTTCACCACCTGCCTTGACACCCTGAGCAAATGGGTACTCTTCTCTAGGCCTTCTCTAGGCCATCCAGCTAATGGGCCGATGGAAGAGACGGCAGGGAATGATGGCAGAATATTGATCTTAACTGTTGTAGTGTCCTAAGGGTAGAGATGGTTTGTGACGAAGGAAACGTGAAAACCAGTCATCCGAGGCCTTGACCCTCTTTCTTTCCCATTCCTCCCAACTAGAGGTTAAAATGCCTGGGTCTCAGCCCCCAGGCCCAAGACCCCTGGCAGTGAGCCCAGGTAACCACTGTGTGCAAGAGCCATCTCTTCTGTGGGTCCCATTGACAAAGTGGTAACTCCAAGGAAAGGGCCATATCTAACCTACTCCCTGACGCTCAGGGCCAACTTCTCCAGGAGGCCCAGTAGACAAGGAGCCTGAGGCCCTGGCTTGGTTAATTTTATGTGTCAGCTTGACCGGGCCGTAAGATACCTAGAAATCCGGTTAAATATTACCCTGGGTGTGTTTGTGTCACATGAGAGTGACATTTGAATTGCTGGACCCGTAGGGCAGGTTGCCCTGCCCAGTGTGGGCGGGCCTCGTCCAATCTGTCAGAGGCCTAAGTAGAACAAAAAAAGACAGCAAGGAAGCATTCAAGCTTTTGCCTGGCTGTCTTCAAGCTGGGACATTGATCTCCTGCCTTCAGACTCAGACAAGAACGTACACCATTGGCTTTCCTGGGTCTTCAGATTGTCAACTGCAGCCTGTGGGACTCCTTGGCCTCTGATGCCACATATGCCAATTCCTTACAGTAAATCTCTCTATATTTATATATCTATGTATCTATATCTATATATCTCCTACTGGTTCTCTTTCTCTGGAGAGCCCAGTCTAATACAGGCCCACAATACTTTTAGGGGCCCATGAAAGTGTTTTAATTTAATTTTTAAAAATCAGAAGTAGAAGATGAATATAATAATAATGAATATATAAAAAATGAGTCAAGGCTGAATTATATTTGTCTTTATGCCAATGTAGTCATAAAGTATAACCTAAAATATATGTTTTTAGAGGAATGGGCTATGAGGGCGCAAGTGCCTAAGGCCCATGAAATGCATAAGGTGGTCCCGCTCACCCTCCACAGTGCCCCATCCTTGAGGGTTGGGGGTCTTTTTATCTGAGAACCAGTGTCCGCCTATTGGTTCAGCGGGTTGACCAGGATGGTGTTTCTATGGCCTCGCACTGACCTTGAAGAAGAGGTTATTTCTGAAGATGCTGTCTTGAGTTGTATCTATTAATAGAAGCGTGTGTGTCTAGTGGGGGTGGATCTAGCAGAGCAGAAGGCAGAGTAAATCAGAACCAGACATTCAAGACCAATAGCTTCTCCTTCCGAAGAGGCTAGCTGTCAGGGAGCGCCCTCCCTACCCACACCACCAGTTTTCCTCTGTGTCCTGTCCTGGATCTTGTCTAATTAGGTTACCCTCTCTCTCCTGTAGACCCAGACTCAGTATTTAGTGAGCCTTCATGATGTGTCAGATACTGCTCAGGGCAGAGATCAACAACCGGATGCTCACAGCCTCTGCAGGCAAACAGCCTGTTAACAATCTAATGGAGCAGAGTACAAAGTGCTATGGGAAGACCTGTTTTAATTCTGCCTGGATGAACCACGAAGGCTTCTTACGGGAGGGAGTGCTTGAACAGGGCTTGGGAGGATGGCTGTGATTTTGACCACAAATGTAGCCTCAGGGAAAAGGGGGGTGTGGGCGTGTGCCCTTGCATCTGCCCACAGGGAAGAATTTGTGATGATCAGAAATGTGATAGAACCAACAGCAGTTATGTGAAATGAGTGCTGTCAGTTGTGAGCCCCAAATTACACCTCTGTTCTGTGACAGTGTAAAATGATTTCTTCTAGCCAAAAAAACAAATGTAAATTAAAAGTACCCTGTCATAGAAGACCTACCAACATCACAAAGCATTCTGTGCCCTACATTTTTGATCACCTGCAATCTGACAGGAAAAGAAGGGAAAGAAGTTCATTCCAAGCAGACGACATGGCACAGGCAAAGGCGAGGAGGGCCAGTGTCCTGGGAATGGCAGGAAGTCCTGTCCACTCAGAACTGGGGGCATAAGAATGACATGGCCCCAGTCGATCCCCTTACCCCAAATAGGGAAACAGGTACAAAGAAAGGGAGCATCGTTTTCTTTCGTGGGAGGAGGGTGGCCTCTTAATGATGAGCATGATAAAGTGCATGTCCAGAGTGTGTTTTTAGGGCTCTAGCTATAAACATCCTAGCTGATTTAGGAACTCCATAGTATAGTGTAGTATAACAACAACAAAATTGGTCTTTGTCCTAGGTTCCTGGCACAGAGCTTCCTTGGAAATTCCTGATAGGAGTGTCTTTTGCTATTCATAGCAGGCCCTTTTGAACACATCAGAGTTTATGCTAATGAGGTGACTCAGGATGGGACCCCTAGAGATAGCTTCAGGATGGGGGCTGGTCAACCAAAAGACCAAACGTGGTAAGAGGGTGGGAATTTTCAGCCCCACCTCCCAACCTCTGAGGAGGGGAGGGGGGCTGGAGATTGAGTTATAAAAACTCTGGAACAGCAAGATTTGGAGAACGTCTGGGCTGGTGAACACATCGAGGTGCTTGGTGGGTGGTGTGCCCTGAGAGGCCATGGAAGCTTCACCCCTGCATACTTTGCCCTGTGTATCTCCTCCATTCAGCTCTTCCTGAGTTGTATCTTTTACAATAAAGTGGTCATTGTAAGTAGAGCACTTTCCTGAGTTCTGAGTCATTCCAGTGAATTATAGAACTTGAGGGGAGTTGTGGAAACCCCCAGATTTGTAGTTGGTCAGGTAGAAGTGAGGGTCATCTAGGGATTCTACTTGCAGCTAGCATCTAAAGCGGGGGAAATCTTGTGGGACTGAGTTCTTTAACTGGTGGGATCTGATACTAACTCTAGGTAGGTAGTATCAGAATTGAATTGAATTATTGGAAACCAAGTTGGTGATAGGGAATTGGAGAATTGATATGGAAAAACAACATGTATTTGGTGTTGGAAATACGTGGGATATACGGAAAAAACCCCATGTGGCGTCAGAAAAAAAAACCCATGCATATAGAAATGGTCATTCACAAGGAAACATCATCAATCTTGTTTAAAGGAGACAATTTGCAAAGCCGCTCATGCAGTTCACAGTTTGCTTATGGCTAATGCAAATTCCTTTTGGCTTTAGAGCCAAGCTTGTGAGAGACGTTCACAAAAAACAGGGCTTCTCGGGGAAAAACTAGATATTCTGTTCAATTTAATGGCAAAGTGGGAGGCCCAGATAGAAGCACTGGAATGCACAAGTTCCCGGGTCCCTGTCCTCTCTTGTCACTGGACTGGTACAAGAGGAGGGCTGCTGGGCCTTCATGACCTGGAAGCTCACCTGAGGCAGTTCCTTCTGGAAGGATGTGGAAAGAAGCAGAGGGACCTAGGGTTCCAGTCTGGCTCTTCCACAGATGCCCTGCATGCCTTGGGCAAGTTGCTCCCATCTCGCACTTCAGATTTTTCATCCGTAAAATGAGGGATACTGGGCTTGATGAATGCTTAGGTTTATCCAGCCTGAAGAGTGGGATTCCAGGAAGGGTGCCCCAGAGATTGCTGGAGGACACAGTAAAAGAGCAGGCATGGGGGTTTATCACATTGAATAACAATGAGTGTTGAGTAAAGGAATTTTTCAGAGAATCAAACAGCCTCCAGATGACTCCTGGCCCGTCCCTGAGCCAGAAAATCAGAGAAACAGAGAGAGACTGGGTGCTGGTCAACAGAGGCTGTGTGATTAGAAGGCCGTCCGGTTAATCACCCTACCCTTGGCGGTCCTGACTTCTCCCTCGTGTGTCCTTTCCCAGGATGGGCAGCATGGCGCCACTTACTGCATTTTCAAGGGCCTGCTGCTCTGATGAACCATGAAGACCCCGAAAGCTCATTCAATATGCACGTGACATACAGCAGGGAGGGAGAGCTGCTATGCTGGAAGGTAGAAACAGGATTCAAAACTATGCCCCCGGGGCTTCCCTGGTGGCGCAGTGGTTGAGAGTCCGCCTGCCAATGCAGGGGACATGGGTTCGTGCCCCGGTCCGGGAAAAGCCCACATGCCATGGAGCAGCTGGGCCTGTGAGCCATGGCCGCTGAGCCTGCGCGTCCAGAGCCTGTGCTCCGCAACAGGAGACACCACAACAGTGAGAGGCCCGCGTACCGCAAAAAACAAAAAAAAATTTGCCCCTGGACTTGAAAGATGGGTTGAAGCTAATGAGATTATGTTTAATAAGGAGAAATGAGAAGACCAGGCTCGGATCCAAAAAGACCAACTAGATCAAGGGTTGGCAAACTACAGCCTGTGTGTGAAGTCCAGCCTGCAGCAGTTTTTGTAAAATTAGGTTGTATTGGAACACAGTCACATTCATTTGTTCACATGCTTTCACACTACAATGGCAGAGTTGAGGAGTTGCTCCGGGATCTTATGGTCCACAAAGTCTAAACCATTTGCTATCTATCTGTCTGACTCCTGAGCTAGACAAGAAAGTCTAGAGGGGGAGATTCGAATTTATAGCAGCTCAAATGAAAAAGAGAAAGAGAGAGAGAAAATTAATGTGTGATTATTTAGTCTGGATTAATAGTGTTACAATGTTAAGACAAAGAATGTATTGACAGATAGGTCTCCTTCAGCTGTAAGCGACCAAAAGTCATACAAAATTAGCTCAGCACAGGAGG